TGTCTTCACATATTTGATAGAACTTAGCAAAGGCTTTATTATAAAATCCAGATGAAGCCACCTGGGTTTTAGGATATAATTGGAAACTTGGCTGCTGCATTCATGCAAAGAAGAAGAAATAAAGTTAACCATAAGAGCACAATCCTTAATATATGAAAAATGTTCAAACTTTATAATTACATTCAGATAGGGAACTGCATGTTTTCCAAGAATAACAACCTGCTGCCACTAAGAGTTTGGGGTGTCTTTCAGAAGTAATCTGTATTCATCTCTAATGTAATGGACACTAAGGAAAATATATGGTGTAAGCATAATCTCTTCATTTGGCAATAAGATTGTGTTTTAACCAGCATTTAAGAGTTCAGGTACTAGAACCAAACAACCTCCATTCAAATCCCAGTTTTGCAGGGTTCCTGGGTGGCTCAGTCAGTAAAGTGTCAGACTCATGGTTTCAGCTCAGGTCATGAGATCAGGGTGCTGGGATCCAGCCCCTCCTTGGGCTTCATGCTCAGTGGGGGGTCTGCTTGAGACTCCCTCTCCCTCTCTCTCCACCCTTCCCCCTGCTTTCTCTCTCTCTTTTTCTTTTTCTCTCTTTCTCTTGAATAAATAAATCTTTAAAAATAAATAAATAAATCCTGTCTCTGCTACTTACTGGCTGTGTGACCTTGAGGTAGTCACTTAACCTCTCTGTACTTTATCTAGGTTCCTCATCTGTAAATTGACAATAATGTTAGTATCTACCTCACAAGACTGTTAAAAGAATTAAATGAGTTCATATACTTACAGAGCACATAAAGCAGTGCCTAGTACATAGTTAATGCTCAACAAATGTTTGTCATTGTTGTCATTACTGCTTTAAAATGGTAGAATGGGTAACACTCTCGGGTCCTCTCTCTCTTTGGCAGAGCTGTACTATCGCTCAATAAACTGCTCTACTATCACTCAATTTTTAAAAAAATGGTAGAAGAGAAAAGGGTCTGACCCTTTTAAAAGAGTTTGCAGAGTGAAGGAAGCTGTATTTCTAGTGGGGAGTGCTCAAAATACTTGAGTTAGAAACAAAATGTATGAACCAGGACCTTCTGTACTGCCATTTACAGCAGTTCAAGGCCAACCACACATGGCCTGAGTAGAGGGCAGCTTTTGGAAATATTAGCTCTCAACTAGCATGAATACACTCTTCAGCACATTTTGACTGAGGAGCAGCCTGGAACAGTCAATGTCAGGATGACGGCTTTGTTCTGTACACACAGTAAAATAAATGTTTGGGTAAGTGGAGTTTACACTGGTTAAATGCTAAAGAGTGTATTTAACTTGTAACTTGGAGTTTATAATTTCCTTTATCCCCTGCTTTGAATTGCTTGTGAAAGTTGACAGCAACTCATTGGACAATTTTCTTAATAAATGCAAATATTTTTAAGGATGGGGAATAAATTTTGTTTTCAGCATCTATTTCTGTCACTAATCTTTCCATAGTTTTCAATTTACTTAGCTCAACAGCGCACCATTTACAAGCCTTAAATTTATAATGTTCACAACTGACATTTATCTAGATTGGTTTTGCAAGAGCAGGAAAGTGGGGATTTATGTTTAATATAAAAATACCCACCATTTGTTCAGAACTTTTTATTGTGTCAGGCCCTCTTCTGCATTATTTGCATATATTATCTCTTTTAATCTTCCAAAAATCTTTCAATGCAGCTATCTGCATCAGAGTAGTTGTCACTAGCCAACTATGACAAACCCCCAAACTCAGTGGGGGAACACAACATAGGTTTGTCTGATGCAGTCAGGCAGTTCTCCTAGGCCGCATCTTCTAACTGCCACAGGGTGTGGGGTGCCTTCTACTACAGTCCAATACCTCTTTTGCTTCCTGCCATAGGGGTAGAGGGAAGAGAAAAAATGTGGAGTAGGTACACCAGGCTGCTACCCCAGCCTCAAATTAACCCTACATTACTCCTGCTCATGTCCCATTGGCCAAAATCAGTCACATGGTCAAACAAACAGCAAGGGAGGCCAGGTAATGGAGAAGAATATGAAGACATCACTAAATCCTAAACATACTTGCCATAGTTTACCCTTCTGGTCACCACATATCCATTTTCTTCCCTCTTTCCTTATGTATAAGGAGAAGAACACAAACACAGAATACACACCTCTTCAAAGGAAAAAACCTCAAATTCCATCTGGTCACTGCATGGATCAAAGTGAAGACTTCTGAGTTACATGAATTTCATGTCATAAGTCTGGATGTGCCATTTCTTTTTTTAAGATTGTATTTATTTATTCATGAGATACACAGAGAGAGCAGAGACATAGGCAGAGGGCTCCCCAGGAAGCCCAATACACGACTCGATCCCAGGACCCCAGGATGACAACCTGAGCCAAGGGTGGACACTCAACCACTGAGCCACCCAGGCATCCCTGGATGTACCATCTCCTGATCCAGTGATCTCTATCACCCCAAAATACAAATTTCCTCCCTCTCCCTTTCTCTCTCTCACTGTCTCTCATTCTCTCTCTTTCTCTCTCTCTCTCTCTCACACACACACACACACAAGAAATGAAGTAACAATAGTGATATAACTACAACAAAAATTTCCCTTCAGAAGGGAAAGAATAGGAGACACACAACAGACACTGATGCCACATCTAGCCAGGCAGACATGGTAAGACCATCTGCCTTAAGGGTGGAAGAAATTCTGGATATGGGCCTGACTCTGTTCTCTGAGAACTCCCTTGTCCCTTTTTCTCTATGGCCCTCAGTCCTTCCTTCTAAGTGGTTCTGCTTGCTTCCTCTGTGATATGTATTGAGGAGCCAGCCCTCCTCAACAACATGCAGGCAACAATTCACCTGGTGATAGGAGAGTTGTTTTCAAACTTGAAAGATATTTCTAGTACAGGCTTATAGTTACTTTAGCAAAATAAGACTTTCAAAAGATTGGTAGGCTCCTAAAAGCCATCAAATTTAGGTACCATCCTCTCTATTCTCTTTTCTTTCTGTTTATAATTTAGCCATTTCTTTCCAAGGGTCATTGCATTCTTGAAACACCTTGCAAAATGCAGTAATAGCAGCCAAGACACACACAATGGATGTTCCTTCTCCCCCCCCCCACCCCGGCCTCTCATCCTAGGGCTACGTAACTGGCACAGATGTTTTGCAAGTTATCATAGATGTCAGTTTTACCAACGTGCCATTGGGACAAAACATGGCACCTCACCTTTCCAGCGTCTGGTATCCAGCTCCTTGCCACTCAGCTCCTGACTACTTAACTCCTGACTACTTAGCCAACAACATTGAGTGTAGGATTTTGTTACAGCGGCACCCACACCCATTACCAATTTTAGTATTGGTCAGGGGAAGCAAGGCTAGCTGCTGTGGTAAATCACAATGACTCACAATAGGTCCTGCTAAGTAACATAGTGAGGAGTTTATTGACTTTCATTGGATAAATGCAACATTGTGCGTATATATGCAAATAGGTTGTTTAACATATGTGTATTTAATCTTTCACAATTAAGTAAGCAAATGCTTAAAGAGATTAAAAAAACATGCGAAGTCATATAATTGGAAAATCATGGATCCAGGTCTGGGACAGACACTACACATCCTAGTGCCTGTAGATGTCTCCTCAGTAGAAACAGAGCCAAAAACAGACTCTACCTTTTTCTCTGCTTTCATAGCAAAGAAAATCTGAAACCTTACCCCTTCCCTGCAGTGTTAGACACTTTCTCTCTTTGCACAATTTCAGTCAGAGGTATTGTCCCCTGTCCATAGCATAAGAGTTACTTTAGGTAACTCAAAAAAAAAAAAAAAAACACCATGGGAAATAATCTATAGTTTTAAAATAATGAATGAGGCTTTTGTACTGTAATTGTTTGCATAAGCTTACATAGTAAGCATACTGAATAGATCATGCCTGTTTTGACATCTCTATTCTCCATTAAATGGTTTATTTACTTAACTGTTTTCTATATTAATTTAGATGATTTTTATTATATCATAACCATTCATTAAATCTGGCAAGAGCACACGTTGTCCTGTTTACTCTCTGTACAAGCTTTGACATATTATCCTTCCCCGATGGGAACATATTCTAAATGCAAACCCAACTTGTCAAAACTGTTGAATGCCCTGAGCCATTACAATCCTATATTCATGCAGGAGGTATTTACTGAGTACTTATTATCTCTCAAATACTAAGCAAGACCAGCTTTAAGATATACTATAAGTATTTTTTTTTAAATCATCACTTTAGGTTGGCTGTAATTTGAATTCACAAATGCTGTGTGTGTGTGTGTGTGTGTGTGTGTGTGTGTGTGTGTGTGTGTTTAATGGCAAATGGGGAAGTGTGGTTGAAAGAGTGAAATCAGGAACATTGATTACAGTCTCTATGTCAGAGACTTACCCAGCTACATGGACACACTCTGCAAAGCGAGTATCCCTCCTAGAGTTTATGATTCATATACAGGATGCAAGCTAAAATAAGTCCAATCAAATGACATCATTTTAGGTATTTTCCCCTTTTATGAAAACGTAATGCACATTAATTTTACATTTTCAAACAGATGAATTAGGGAAGAATTGAATAGAAATAATTGTGTTAGCAAAAGTTTAAACATAATTTCACTAGTATCACTGTCCTATAAGTTGAGACAGAAACTTTTCTGTGTGTTTTTTTTTTTTCTTCCAGTGAAGTGATGCCATTTGGTCTCAAGGCATCACTTGAAAAGGCAAAGAAGCAACTTGAAGTAACACAGTGAGAAGAGCTACGGGTAAAAGAGAATTGCTCAGATACCTGAAACCTTTGCTTCCCATTTGCCTCGGTCCCGGGTTTGCAGAGGAACGTCACCCGCTCCTACTCTTTCCCAACGAGCCTATATATTTAGCTCTTTGAAATGTGAGTATTATGGGAAGGATCGCAGTTGCTTTAAATTATAGACGTTGGCAAGTGGTGGGGAGGAGCGGGAGGTTGTTTAAACTGAGAAAGACAGTTGCAAAACTTCGTGCAACAGCATGAGCTCCAAGCTTCAAACACAATCTCATGCTCAGAAGAGCACTTTATTTTTCATCGCGTTATTTTTTGTATTGTTTTGAAACAGCTTCGAATAAGACACACATATTTCTGCTTTAAATTTTTTAATGGTTTCTAAATTCATGGGACAACCAAAGCAAGAAAGCCTCATGTTTTGGGGAAAATTTTGACATCAGCAATGCCTAGAAAAGGTAAGCCATTCTCTTGAACTTTTTGCCTCCTGTTTGGCCTTCATCAAAAATATTTACTGGAAGAACTTAAGACAGCTACTTGTAAAGAAATGAGGAACTTGTAGAAAGTATGTCAACAAATGATAAATCAGAGGTTGGAAAACCTCAGCAGTCATGCCTTCTCCTGCTTTCTATTCTGCTTGACGCAAACCTCTGTGAAATAGCTTTGACTATTTGAAAAATGAGATTTATCTTAGAAAATGTGTGCAAGATATTCCTCAGAATCTCCAACCTGATGCGCCTCACATTCACTAGTGTGGTGATGGGCTCATTTATTTCCCGGGTCAGAGTATCTGTGTTTTCTTATCCCGTTACGTGCAATTCGGCTTCCAGAGCTATGATCTTTCTATTAAGTCGGAAATCTTTCCCATGGAAGATTTTACTATCATTCCAAAAAATTTTCTTAAGTGTGGTTACTATGACTTCTTATAAACTTGTTTTGCAGAATACGTTTTTTAAAGTTAAATAAATCATTCGGCTTTTCCTTTGTAACGACTGGATAAGGATGTTACGGCTCTGATGTCCTAGGAGAAAAAAAGTTCAATTCCATGTTTGTTCATTCTGGTTGCAGTTGACTGACAATGCTAGGGTCTGGTGAGGGTGGCTTTGCCCTCTTGATTTTGCCTTTGATACAAGTAGGGATCAGAGACGCTTAGGTATTCCTTGGTTTTCTATGGCAATGATCATATGGGAAGTATGCGGTGGTTTTAGGTGGAAGGACAAGTAAATGTGTGATGTGCTGATCCTATTTCCCTGGGAAAGTCTCTCTTATCAGATTTCCCATCTTTCCGAGACAGAATTCCAGATGCAAATAGCTAGCTATCCACAGAGATCTATCTGCAAATTCCCCCGGCAGGCTTCAATTTTAACAGAGCATTCATTCCTCCACGCACACATATGTACTCACGGGCGGAGGCTAAAAACCTGGTGGGTTTGACCAAGCTTGAGTGCTCTGGGACACCTAGGCGACTTCAGTCTACGAGACCCACTGGTGCAGAAGCAAGAGCAAACGTGCTCATTAGGCCTGGGTGAGAATGTGAGGCTCTGCCCGGAGAAGTGTGCTTGGGTTGGGAAGGGCTTCACCTGCCTTGCCGGACCAGCTGCTGCTCTGTTTCTGGGATATTTTTTCCTTCTGTGTCAAATTCTAATTATATAAGATGGATTATGGTGGCTTCCTCTACCTTTTGTGGTCTCAGTGAGTGAAAAAAAAAAAAAAGAGGTTAAGATCAGAAGAAGGACATTGTTACAGAGAGGAGAGAAGGCAGCTCGGTCGGCTCATTGCAAGGTGGTCAAGAGAAACTGCTGGCTCCTTTTTCCATCTCCAGTTGTTAATGGAGGAAGTGAGGAATCCATGCCGGCCACTCTGCTCTCCTTCTCCTCCCTGTGTCTTCCCTGCTCTCTCTTCCTCCCTCCACTTCTGTCCATGCCGGCCATGCAAGCTCAAGAGAGGGAGCAGTGGGTTGGACGGACAAGATTATTACCATCTCCTCGTCTCCACCATTCCCAGGCCAGTTGGGGAAGCCCCCACCCTATTTGGAGGGGGGGTCTCCAGTACCCCACCCCATGACCTCATCACAGGCAGCCAGGGAGCTGGGATGGCCAGCGGTTGCATGGCGCCTGAGTGCACCCTGGGGAAGGGTGCGGCCCAGAAATGCACAGTGTGGCATGACGTGGCTGCTGGGGAGTGGGGCGCGGACTTCCCATCACGGGCTCTTGTGGAGGCTGGCGGCATTTCTGGAAGCCAGGCCCGCCAGGCCCCACCTCTGGGCCTGAGAAGGCCCCAAAGAGGACAAAAACAAAAAGGCAATTAGAGTTGCTAATGAAGCCCCAAGCCAGCTGACTCATCCAAGGCACAGCCACTGGGGGGCTTTGTAATGAAACCTAGACAACACCCTGGAAAGGACAGGTCAGGTTTGTCCCCAGAAGGACACTGACAAGAGGCCCAATGTGACCTAATCGTGCTCTTCACCTCACAGAGGCTGGGGAGAGGCAACATCTGCGAGGCACAGAGGGGGGACAGTGTTAACTAATGAACTGCCAGGGAGTTCAGGAGTGATGCTCTCCAAACCTGAAAAGGGTCGGAGCCAGACTCAGCCCAGGTCACCAGCTACAGTCATAACCCGCAAGTCTATAACCTGTGACTTGAAGAGCCCCAGGCTCGGGAAATGACCCCCTAGAGCAGCTAGGAAGATTGTGATTCACTAAACTCTATCTGAGTGCCCACTCAGTGCCAGAAACTTTACCAAGGCTCTTTGAGCATGGCTCTTGACAGAGAGACTGAACATTAACAGGAGTGGAGAACACAGATGCCTTTGCACATAAACCTGCTGACATCAAAGAAAGCTCCTCATACAGTTGCATTTGAACTAGGCCTTGAAGGAAGAGTAAAATGTTATGATAAAGGCAAGGTGAGCAAGAACATCAGTAAGCAAAGTGCAGAGGTGGAAAGGTCACGGCTGCTCCCATGAACCAAGTAGCTTGGGAAAGCAAAGCTCTGTTGCCCAAAGTGCATCCCAAGGGACATGACTTTCATGGGTTATTAATAAGAGGATAACCAAAAGTACTTCCTGATCAGGCAAATCCAGGAATATGAGAAGCTGTGTATCACAGTGAACCAGAACAGGTTCTAGAGTTATAAATATCTGATTCCAATCCCAACTCCAACTTTTAAGAGTAAGGAGCTATAAGAACTTGGACCATTCAAGCATTGATTTCTTCATCTGTAAAGTAAGGATAATAATTATAGCATTTGAGGATTAAATTAAAGAATTCGTATAAAGGGCCTACTATCAAAATATCTGCCATGAAAGAGCTCAGTGAATGTTAGCTACTCTTATTAGCTATTAAGAGCTGGTTTCTTTACTGTAGGACTTCTCACACATTTTAGTTTCTTACAACATCCTCTGTCTCTCCATGAGTGGGTCTTTAGAATCTAGTGTTTTCCAAGTGCATCAGAATGTAAAACCTTGCCCCCAATCCCAGGAGTATCACACAAACTTGGAATACAGATGGCATGATGGAAAATGGTGAGGCTAAGTTGGCCTAATTAGTTCAGGCCACAGACATGTGTCTTTCCCAACTTATCAATCTCTACCAGCCTCTTCACACATTATCTGCCATGTTTCTAGAAAACAAAAGCCCTACAACTAGGATTCTCATATCTAAGGAAACTGACTTTAAAAAAAAAAAAACTATTGTCAACTTTTAGAGAGAAAAGTGACAGCAAAGCAAATTGTTGTGGGGAACCTGGGTGGCTCAGTGGTTGAGCATCTGCGTTTGACTCAGGTCGTGATCCTGGGGTCCTGGGATCAAGTCCTGCATTAGACTTCCTGCAGGGAGCCTGCTTCTCTCTCTCTCCTCTCTCTCATGAATGAATAAATAAATCTTAAAAAAAAAAAAAGAAAAAAAGCAAATTGTTGTCATACCCAAATTTCACACCTACAAGGTCAGCCTTTGCCTGTGGTTTGAGGGCTTACAGAAATGAGGTCAATGCACAGGACACACACTAACTAAACCACGATCACACCTTCAAGGAGTTACAAATAGCATGGGGAACACAACATGTGAGTCCTAATATCTAAAATGCAAAATCCAGATTTACAAGGAAGAATATCAGAGAGTTCAGATGAATGGGAATTCACAGAAAGGGAGTCTGCAGTTCCCTGGAATAATCAGAGTAGTATGTAACATTCTTTGATGTTTACCACGTACAAGGAACTATGCCAAGTACTTCACAGTATGGCTGTCCCATATGTACTTCATAAGGCTACATGGTGGATATTGACTTGCCCATATCACAGCGAGAAAACTGAACCCTAGAGAAATTCAATAACCTTCCAGAGATGTTCTAGGAAGTGAGGGGCAGGGTATGCTCTCAAACTCAGGACCATCTGATGCTGTGCATCTTGCATGCAGGGAAGACTCCTCAGAGGAAGTAATATGTAATTTAACCTTGAAAGATAGATAGGGATTGGTGGGAAGGATATCCAGGCAGCAAGAACATTAGTAAAAGCATGAGAGAGAATAGCATGAGGAGTAGCAGCAAAGCTACCCTGGCAGAAAAGGGCACACATATAGAGCAGAGGGAAATGAGCTCAGAAGACTTAGATGGAAAAAAAATAACCAGACTTGGTTGTAATCAGATCATAGAAAGCCTTGAATGCCAAACCACAAAGTTCAGATTTTTCTTTTAATGGAATAATCATTAAAAGTTTGTAAACAAAGTAACTCCTTGGAAGTTTATTAGAATGATGATTTAAGATGATTAATCAGTGTCCAGAAGGAGCAGAGACTAAATCTCCAGTTAAGAAGCAATATTTGTTCAGATGAGATAAGAGTAGCAGATGTTCACACAGCAGTTAAAGGGTAGAGATGCTCGTTGGGCCCAGTCCCGTAAACCTGCTACAGCAAGGCTCTGACCATCACAGAGTCCTGTCAGAATAATAACTTGGAGGCCTCACTAAATCCAGATTCAACCCTGTAAAATGAGAGGGGGTAAGAGATGGAAGGGACAGGAGGAACAAGTTGGTGTCCAATGGCCTTCCAACACTTCAAACTCCATGAAAATAGCCTGCTATGCACTTTTATGGAAATCATTAACTATTCAGTTCCCTACTCAATCACATTTCTAGACTGCTTCTCCATATCAAGCAGGCATATTTCCAGAAGAATTTTAGGGTGTGCAAAAGTTTTATGATTATATAGCCTTGGCATACTGATATATACACAGTAATGGTACAGGCATGCAGTGATTGGGGGAGGCTACATTTTAATATATCCTTTCAGAAGAAACATTTACCCATCATCCTGGCTGTGTGCCTTTTGCAAAATTTAGCTGCCTACCTCTTGTGATGGAGGAGTGTTAACTGTAGTTCGTTTTTATCCCATTTCACTGTGAAATCTAATTTGACATTGATGGAATCCTCATCAGGAGATCCTTTGAATTTATCACCATTACCAAC